TTTCTTGCTTCTGCCACAAATTCCCCCAGCTGTGAGCCTTCCAACCTTCTAAGTATTCCTTTATATGTGGTTCAGAGTTCTGGGACCATCCCCTGAACCTGCTTGGTCGGGTATTCTGTATGGTTGTTGGCGGAGCTCTCTACTATACGTCCACCCAATCTGCCATCTTGTTTGTTCTCCCCGACATATTCATTATTAAAAGGAAAATTTCAAGGTCTACCCTGAAGTATAAAATTGTCATTGAGAGGATAATCTCCATATGCCTACAATAAGGCTGTTAATATGACTATCATTCAAATTTACACATCAACTTCTAAAGCCAGTGATGAAGAAATAGAAGAATTCTACCAACTTCTTAGACTGAAATTAATCAAGCATGCAGTCAAGATGCATTTAATAAACCCATTTGACCTAGCCTCAGTGACTTGATAATCAGAACTAGACGAAGATTTTTTAAAAATAACAATTTTTGATAAAGGAAACGAGGTTAAGTTGCTCTAATTTGAAGAACTTGACTTACACTCATGGATTTAGTAGCTCAAAATACCAACAAAGAGGGAAGAAGTCTTCACATCAAGTATCAGAATCACCAATCAGAACAAAACGAGGGAACGACTGCATAACAGATCATCAATTCCTCATTGTTATTAAGTGCAAATAAGTTGATTCCCACTCATAGTGACCCTGTATAGGGACAAGGAGTGGCTGTAAATTTGAACTGCCAACCTCACAGTTCAAACCTACCTTGCAGTCCAGCGCTTATCCTACCGTGCCACACATTATATGCATGTTCAAGTTGAAACTGAGTAAAAGTAAACCAAGTCTTTGACAGTCAAAATACAACCTTGAGTATATCCCAACTGAATTTAGAAACCATCATGAAAGAATAAATCTGATGAATTAAACACTACTGAGAAAAGAGCAGACAAGTTGTGGGAGAACACGAAGGGCATCATATATGAATACAGCAAAAAGATCACTAAAAAGGAAAGAAAGAAAAGAGTAAAGTGTATTTCAGAAGAGACTCTGGTTAAAGTGAGAGGAAGAAATGATGACGTCAAAGAGCCGAACAGAAGATTTCAAAGGATGACTCAAGAAGACAGGGCAAAGTATTATAATGAAATGTGCAAAGACCTGGAGTTAGAAAACCAAAAGGACAGTTCATGCTCAGCATTTCTCAAGCTGCAAGAAATGAAGAAAAGATTCAAGCCTCAAGTTGCAATGTTGAAGGATTCTGTGGGCAAAATATTCAACAATATTGAGAGATATTGTACAATACACACAGATATTGTACCAAAAAGAATTGGACAATGTTCAGTCATTTCAGGGAGCCACTGGGTTTGGCACTGAAGGCCTTGGAAAAGCTCCAGGAATTGAAAAAATACTAATTGAAAAGCTTTAACCAACAGATGTTGCTGGATGTGCTCACCTGTCCATACCATTGAGGGCATGGGGTGGTTCTGGAGTGGGCAGCATGAGTCCTTTTCTGATGGTGGTGGTTTTCTAGGCATGACCCTTGTAATATGATTTGGAAGCCACCATTTCCTGGATTAGAAAGGGGAGTCATTCATGTCTGGCAATTTGTTTTCTTTTCTTTTTTCTCTTTTTAAGATAAATAATACCACTCTCTAGGTGATTTCTTTTAGTCTCATGATTTTAAATACACTTGGTGACTCTCAAATTTATATCCTTTAAACTCTCGACTAAATTCCAAACTTGGTATCTAACTTCTGGCTCAACATCTCAATTTTCACGTGTCTAAGAGAGAACACCAAACGCACAGCTACCACAGTGTTTCCCATTTTAGCAAAGTTCAACCACTATTGAGCAGCACAGAGAAAAACCCCAAATCAAAATCTCTGTCATCTTTTCCTGTATATCAGGCAGCGAGGTTGGCGGTTCAAGTTTACCGGCCGCTCCTCGGAAACTTGTATGACACGGTCGCTATGGGTCGGCACTTAACAACAACAACAATGCAGCAATCCTTAAGCAAATCTTGTTGATTCTACTTCAACAAGGAGAATGCTACCAAATCCTAACACTTCTACAGCTACCATTTTATTCCAAAGCCACCATAATTTAGTTCTTGTACTACTGAAAATCGACAGCACTTAACTACTACTGAAAAGAAGTCCCGTGGCGGCGCTGTAGGATAAGCACTCCACAGCAAGATCAGTTTGAACCACAAGGTTGGCCGTTCTAACTCACCAGGCACTCCTCGGAAACCCTATACAGGGTCGCTATGAGTCGGAAATGGCTCCACCGCACTAACAACACCTCTCCTGAAACTGAGTCCTGGTGTAGAGCTGTGGAATAAAGCACTGGATCCTAAGGTCTGTTTGAACCCACCAGTCTCTCCTCAGAAGCCCTACACAAGATCACTAAGAGTCGGAAGGCCTCCATAGCACTTAACCACAACATTACTGAAACAGCCTTTTACCTGACATCCTTGTTTATACTCTTGAAGGTCAACAATGTATGCACAAGCATCACCTTTATAAACATGCCACTCAGCAGTCAAAAACCATCTAGTGATTTACCAACATACAAAATGTCCATCTCCTTTTCCTGTTTGATGAGACCTTCTTAGCCAGGCTCACTGTGCCCTAAGTACCTTGCCCTCTTTGCTTCTTCCCAAAATGCCAAGCCCATTGGACGTCAGGACCTTTGTAGTTTGCTCTTCTCTACCTGGTACCTAAGCTCAGATTCTTGCAAGGCTGGCTTTTCATTTCTCTTGGCTCAAATGTCAACACCAGATCATTCTACCTAAAACAGTTACACTTTTTCCTTTCAGTGATGACCGGTTGTTTAACTACGGTCTCCCTCTCTGGAATGTAAAGCTCCATTAGAGATCCCTGACGTCTACATACTTGGTTTAAATCAATGTGACACGTATTTATCCTGCGTATCTAGAGCCCTTGCTTTGTAAAGTCACCTCACTAGGGTCAGCATACAAACACGGAAGGATACGAAAGTCAGGTGAGGCCTGTCTTTATAGTAGGATCTCGCTGCAATTCTTCGCCACCCCTCAAATCCTCTCAGCCAAAGCTGAGCAATTACATTCTTGCATGGCCGAAAAGGCATAAGAGGAAAAAATGGGAGTGTGGAAGGAAGCAGCTCTATAGCATCTTGTTGAGAATCAATTTTTATTGGGGCGGTCTTGGGGCCGGGGCTGAGATTTCAAACGTAAAGGGAAGCTACAAGCGAACGAACGATTCAGCCATTTCTCGAAACCAGTTTCTCGGGTAACTCGCAAGAGAGCGTGCGCACGACGGGGGCGGAGCTTATTATGAGTGCCGCATCCGGAAACCACACCCTCCGTGGCGTCCCATGGTCGCGTATTCACAAAACGCAAAGAGAACTTTAACAGTCGACAGCGAAAGCGCGCACACGATCTCCAAGACGAGCGGAAGGAGGGGAACCTCTCCTTAGCAACATTCTGTATGTCCAACGACGATTGGCTGGAGCCATCTTTTTTTTTTTTCTTTGTTAGTATTGGCTAGACTTCCTTCCCCTACTATCCAATTGGCTTTTAGCTATGTACTTATAATTGGCTCTCCTGGAGATGGGCGGGCGAGCCTTTAGTGACTATTCATCACAGATTGGTGGATTTGAGTACCAGGCGGCTCCTTCTCTCTGTCCCGTCTCCCGACCCGTACACTTTCCCCTCGACTCACGCGCACGAATGGTTAAAGTAAAAAAGAAAAAAAAAAAGGGTGTGAGGCTCGAGCCCGCCAGCCAGGCCTCTAGCACCTAGCGCGCGCCCTCAGCGAAGACCCGCGCGAGCTGCCCTGTACTGTGCCTGCGCTGTTTGAAACTGCAGAACCCGTTAGGATCTTGGGAAAACTACCGTTTCAGCTGACTCCGGAGCTCATGCGAACCAGGGTGGCGGGGCGAGTGGCGGTCACGAGGCGGCTCTCGCCTTTCGTGGCTCTGCAGCGTGGAGATTAGAACCGGCATTTTCGAAAGACGCCGCCTTCAGTAGTAGCGCTGGCGCGGGCGTAGGCTAAACACGGGGGTCCTGAGACGGAGGAAAACGCGCCAAGTTCCCCTCGGTGGTAGAGTGTGAGAGACCCTAGCTGTTCAGGCTCATCGCAAGAGGGGCCGCTTAGTCCTGCGCTCATTTTTCCCGGGGCGGGCGCTAGCGGCCGCCGCTCCGGGAATGTAGTTGGTGGCGGTGCACGGCAGGAGCGAGTGGCGGCCCGGGTTCCCGCTCTTGAGAGCGGATGGTCACTCCCCTGCGGGGAGGGCGATCCGGCCAGCTTTTTCTCGGGTCGGGGACCCGGGCTCGCAGCCGGGACTCACCTGTCGCTCCCACACCCGTCCCTATTGGACTAGCCGGCGTCACCGCCGCGGATCTCGCTTTGGGCCATGACTAGGTAAGAAGGGCCTCTTGGCGGGGCCGGGGGCCGGTGACTGCAGCAAGTTCGACCGGCGCGAGAGTGGTGCTGCCGTGGGAGCCGGACGCCGCCGCCGGCAAGATCTCAGGGACCATTTTGTTCCCTCGCCCTGGCCGGTGTCCGCCTGAGCCCCGAGCCCCGCGGGCGAAGGGGCCGTTTCCCCGGGAGCTGGCGGCCCCCGTGCCCAGGGCTGTGACGGAGAATACGGACAGCAGTGAGCACGACCTCGCGCTGTCTTTCAGCGTCTTTCTATTCCCTGGAGTGGTGAGAGGTAGCCAGGAGGAGAAACGCTGTCACTCAAATTCCGTAACTGTAACTATTCAGTTTTACCGCGTTATTTCTTAACCACTGCTACTGAAAAAAAAGGGGGGAAATGTTTATAGGACGCCACGTGTCTGCAGTGTTTGCCGGGGATGGTCTCCGTCAGCCGTTCTGACGTTTGTGTCCTGAAAAACAAGAGTTGTCATCGTCTGAAGGAAAGAACTTAAAACGAATGATGCTGAGTTGTTCACACTGTTGTTCAAAAACATTTAACGCTCGATTCCTGGTGCTTTCTGCAAAACCTGATTGACAGTGTTCAGAGATACATTTTTGTTACAATTCAGTTAGAAGAAAAGCTCAGGAAAGACAACTGGTGCCGCATCATATGTGTCACCTGATAAAATGTTAAGTGCCGTGGAGTCGGTTCCGACTCATAGCGACCCTGTATAGAGTTTCCGAGGAGCGGCTGGTGGGTTTGAACCACCGATCTTGTGGTCCAGGGCTTCTTCTGCATTCATTTCAGGACTCCATTGGGTAATCTTGAGTGTTTGCTTATTGCTTCGAGGGAGGTTGTAGTATAGATTAGGATGATCCCATTTCAGCTGCTCTATCAATGTTCTGTTTGTTTGAAATCAGGATAGTCTGTCACGGAGGAAAGGAAGTTTCTACTAATTAAAATCGCCTTTCAAGAAAAGGGAATTTTTAATGCTTTGAGATCCCTGACAGTGTGGTGCAGGCTATGGTTTATCATTCATAATCGTATGAATTTTATCACCAGCATGAAGCTCGAAGAAGAAATTGAGTTAGAGACAGGATGGGGAAATTGGTCAACTTCCCAGTCCTTCTTGAGTGTCTCCTAAATGTACTTTCACTGCCGAAGTACAGTATTAATGAGTTCCCAGCTTGGAGTTATTAAGGATGTAATTCTAGTGACCTTTTTTTGTACATTTTAATTGAGCTCTGATAACATAGTGGTTATCAGTTGGGCTGCGAACTTCAAGATCAGCAGTTCAGAACTACCGGCAGTAATGCGTGAGAAAGATGAGTTTTCTGCTCTCGTAGATTTACAGCCTCAGAAACACTTTGCAAGGTCGCTATGATTTGGAACCGACGACACCACCACCATAGAAGTCTGTACATTTAAAACTCATTGCTGAGGTTTGGGGCTTTAAGTAATTTCCTGGTAATTCTCCATCCAGTTAGATCATTTTTTCCCCAGATACCATAATGACTGACACTTAAAATAACTACAAATATGGCCTATTTTTCATGTAAAAGTTTGCTTTAAAAGGAGGTAGAAATGGTTGCAGAAGGCAAACCAAATCATTTTTTTTTCCTACTCAAAGCAATTTTTTAAAAGAAATCTATAGTTTAAAGAAAGTATCCTGAAAGTGAATACAATATTGTGGTTTCTAGTGTATAAGAATTTAATACCTATTCAAAGTGCTTACAGCAAGTAATTTTTTACACCCCCCCCCAACTTTTTATGTATCTTAGGACCTTTCATTCAGGGTTTTAGGTGGAACTGAACACAAATCTTTGCCTTTTGCATGAAAATTATACTTTAAACTTTTTGTAGATTTGTTGGAGTCCTAGTGTGGTGCTGTGGGTTAGTGTGCTGGTTCAAGCTCACCAGCTGTTCCTCCGAAACCCTATACATGGTTGCTATGGGTCAGAACCAACTCAACAGCACTTAACAACAACAATTTGATACATATTCAAAGTGCAAGCAGTTTTTTAAACCACCCCCAACTTTACATATGTCTTAAGACCTTTCAATTTATTTTGCATGGTAATTCACATTAATAACTAGAAAAGACCTTGGAAGGGCGGGCTCATTCATGTCAAACACTGCGAGAGGGCTTCAAAAAAATTTGTGGAAAAATGGAACTAAAAGAACATGGCTTTTCTAAGAACTTTTTAACGTTCCCTCAGACTTTGATTTCCTAGCCATCCCTCTTCATATCCAACTTCTTACTTCAGAACTAGAGATGGCATTTAATAGTTTTTTGAATAAATTATTATGAAAATATAAGTTTTTACTCCTTAATCCTACTGTTGTTGTT